CATGCTTGTACAATGCATAAACATAATGTCAGCATACTGTACACTGAACCTTTGTTGTATCGCTATTGATTAAATTATATTGTGATAATTACTGATATTGTTTTATTGTCTAGTCCTACAAACCAGTGCTTAAAGATAATAAGTGTAGAACGTCAATAAAAGTATCACTGCATTCAATTTGAGAAATCAGTGCACAACACAACTTTCCCTTCAGGAAATATTCATTAATAATACAGCACTATAATAAACTCTGTCCATCTGAACAGCACATGTTGCTACATGACACCAGATCATGTTTCACATTTTTATGTGCATAAACAGTGACCTCAGTTGGACATTATCTCCACTCTGCTCTACAGATATTGATGAGTGTGAGGGAGAGGGGCCAGGACCATGTGGACCGTATGCCAGCTGCTCTAATACCCCTGGCTCTTACTCGTGTAGCTGTCTCCGTGGTTACCTGATGGGTGCTGGAGGGTGCCAAGGTTCGTTAGCATCTGTGTGTGTATGTGTGAGTGATTGTGTGGTTGTGTGTGTAGTAGAGCTTGGAAACTGCAGCTGATAAAATTGGCTGATATGAGCCGATAACTAACACATTGGTATCTGCATGTAAAGCAATACGTATGTTAATGTAGAAAATGTAGAATGTAGAAAAAGATGCATTTATGTTTATATCCTAAGAAAAACAAATATTTCTATATTATATATATATTATATTTCTTGATTGAGGTTATAATAAAGTTTATGGTTTAGATAATATCATTCCTAAATTACTTTACTTTGTCATGAAGGTTTGATAATGACATCTAAGAAATCATTGCTACTTTTTAAATGTATGCATCAGCTGACACCAGTATGAAAAATGTTTACCATAACATTGGTATATGTCTGAGGACCAATTTTGTTTTATAAAACATTGTTTATAAACCATTATTACCTTGTTTGGACTGAGTTTGTGTGTGAGGCAGAAAGAATGTACTCTATGTGTGTGTGAGGAGACTGGAGGGAGAGTGTCAGAGATGACTCTGTACCATGCATCCTGTTGTATGGTTTTAATGCATGTGTGCCTTATGTGTCCTTCAGATATAGATGAGTGTGCTCTGGCTGCAGTGACAGGTCTGCAGGCCTGTCAGGGGGAGGCTGAATGTAAGAACACCCCTGGTTCCTTCACCTGCTCGTGTCCTGCAGGATTTGTAATCGCCCTCGATGGAAAAAGCTGTGTGGGTGAGGCTGTGTTTTGTATGACTATGGGACATGGATGTACAATTTGCCCAGTAGTCTCTCTAACAACATATCTTAGAAAAATTGGAAAACAAATATACAGAGCAGCGTGCTGATGTATCAGACTACACAAAATCTTTTCCCCACATTAAACCACAACCAATAAAATCAAAAACCACAATGTTCAATAAATGACCTTGAATTACATGGAAAGGTCAAAGGGGTGATGGTAACCTCCATAACTTTGCCACACTGATGAATCCTATTAAATGCTTCTTGCTGGTTGGTTTCTCTCCACTGCAGATGTGGATGAGTGCAGCTTCGAAGAGCAGTGCCGCCGGGAGCTGGGAAACGTGTGTGTGAACACTCCTGGCAGCTTCACATGCCAGTGCCAGCCGGGCTTCAGAGCGGAGCCGCCCGCCTGTGTCGGTGAGTCTGTGGTCGAGCCTCAGCACAGCAGGATCAGACCGATGATCAGATCTGACCTGGTATTAACACGTTATTTCCTGTTTCACTGAGATTGGCCCAGAGTTGATAACTCTAGCTGACAGGAAGGAAGTCTTCGCAGGAATAGTGAGCTTTAATCTGCTGCTTTGCTTCCCATCTGCTTTGTTTCTCTATGTTTCTGTTTCTCACATCTTTTTCCATCAATCTTCCAAAGACTAATTCCTGTCTTTTCTGTAAATCGTCCCAATGCTCTACCACTCTCACCTCTGTTCACTCTGTGACTCCCGCACTTGTGATCCCTGGTCCTCTGTAGGTCCTGTATGTCCAGAGTACACCGTGTGTCAAGGTATGATGTGCTTTCCATGTTTAACACACGCTGCTTGCCAAATCAGAAACTTTACAGAAATTGTGTTAATATTGTTATTTTTCATCCTTTCTTAATATAGAGTATGTATAATGTATCAAGGAATGGTAAATGGTTTGATATATAGATATAGCTCTTTTCCACTCGGAGCGCTTCAGAGTACGGTTTTGAATTTTGAATTTACCCATTTACACACACACACACACACACATTCATACAGTGCATCTATGTGCAGCACTTTATCACTCGTCACTCACACACTCATTGTGTTGACAGGAAACATTTTACGCCACTTAAGCCTAATAAGGACTTGATTGAGGTTTGGAGACATGAGACTGCTTTGGCAACTCAAATTGACAGGAGGGAGGGGGGGGGGCATTTCACAGATGACCATGGCTTTTAAACAACAATAAAATGAATGATTATTTATTATTATACCAAATAATCACAGAGCAATAAGTCACACTGTAAGAACCACCTTTCCTCTGTCTCTCTGTCCCAGATGTGGACGAATGTACGGAGAGTCCTGCGGTGTGTGATGGTCAGGGTGTGTGTGAGAACACGCTTGGGAGCTATAAGTGTGTTTGTCGACCAGGTTACCAGGGAAACGGCACATACTGCGAAGGTAAGCAATTAGTGCTGATGTCGCTCCCTGGGAAAACTTTGGACAGGTTCAGCTTCCTTGTGTGTGTCTGTGTTTTAATGCTTGTTTTTATATCTTCCATTAAGACTGTCCCGGGTGGCAGAACAGGGTTTATTGAATAGGAAAGGACTGAGTACTGAATCTGAAATTGTAAATAATAATGTGCTCTTTCTTTCAAGATGAAAACGAGTGTGCATTAGGTCGTCACGGGTGTGATACCAACGCTCGGTGTGGCAACATCATTGGCTCGTATTTCTGCCAATGTTACCAGGGCTTCAATGGGGATGGATACTCTTGTTTTGGTGGGTAAGCAGTGTGTGTTTTCCACATGTGCGTGCCTCGAGTGGTGCTCGGTATCGTTAAGTGTCTGCCAGCGATCCTTGTGTCATGCAAACAATTCTTGGTGTGTGCCAGCAGCACTTGGGCACACGCTCACCAGACACCAGTCCTTTAGGTTTGCCCTTGTTTACAGACATTGATGAGTGCGCACTGAACAACGGCCACTGTGAACACAACTGCACCAACGAGGCCGGAGGCTACAGCTGTCAGTGTGCATCCGGATACCAGCTGGACCAGGGCGGACACAACTGCACAGGTAAAACCCAGGTCAGCTGTTGGTCCATTCACATCAAGCAGCTGACATAGGTTTTGAAAAACAGTATCATCATATTTCTAACATAGATAAATTGTTTTGTCACATACCTCATTATGGCATGGCATTCCACTCCTGTTTGCCAGATCTGGGGCCACAAGTAAGCCATACAACCATATGTCAGCCAAAGGTCCCAAAGGTTGTTTTTTGCTATTTGGACTATATTCACCATCTAGCACATGGGCCACATCCAGATTACACCTTACCTAGATGTGGTGCACATGTTTGCCAAAAAGTCAGAGTGAGAGGTTTTGGTTTATCTGGAGACTTTCTCAGCCTGGCCTGTGACAGACACACGGTGTCTGTTAAAATTAAGAAGTCACAGTAACACAATTGTTGGTTACCAATTTTCACTTTTCATATTTTTTTTATTGTAAATTTGATTTTTTGTTGCAGCTAAAAACAACACAGAAGAGAAGTTTCAGACCAGACTCTAAAACAATGAGCTGCTGCAGATTCAGTGAATGATTCTCTGCAGGTTCAATATTAAAAGCGATTCCTTTCACATTGTTACATAAATACTGATTATACACTGATTATAGCTGCTTATTCATGAGGGGTGACTGTTATTTGTAACTATGAAGTACTTTCAAAGAGAAAAAGATGATTGCTCAAAGTAGCTGATCAAGACATGGATTTAATCAATGGAAAAGTTCAGATGATTTCATCATCCTCAAAAGTCAGGGCCCTTGATCTAACAAGCAGCTTCCCTGATGCACACCCCATCCACATGGCCCTCCAAGCCTCTTGAAACAAGTGCTAACTTGAAACGTAAATTGCGTGAACTGAATGAACTGATCCCACAGATGTGGATGAGTGCTCGGCGCTGAATGGGACCTGTGAGCACATGTGCATCAACACTCTTGGGTCGTTCCAGTGCTCCTGCAAGCCTGGCTACCAGCTGCACATCGACCACCACACCTGTGTGGGTCAGTCACTCCCCGACACTCTGTCATTTTCCTCTGCTGTCTACACACTTGTTTTCTGTCATCTAAGCTGTGTAAGCATTGGCCACTTTACAGCACGTGGATGTCTCATTGTGTGTGTGTGTGTGTGTGTGTGTGTGTGTGTGTGTGTGTGTGTGTGTTAGTTTATGAACATCTTTTCTGCATGGACATTAGTGGGTCTCCTAGGAGAACATTTTGTAAAATGACAAGAAGCCAGACTCAGTTACAGACATCTTACACAGGAAATGTACTGTGTCCTCTGTCTAAAAACATGTTTACTCTGTCTGTGTGTGTGTGTGAGTGTGTGTGTGTGTGTGTGTGTGTTTGTGTGTGCATGTGTGCGTGCACTCAGACATTGATGAATGTAAACTCCAGAACGGTGGCTGCTCCCACACCTGCACCAACTCTCCAGGAGGACATGAGTGCCACTGCCCTCCTCCTCTGCTGTTGGACACGGACAACCACACCTGCAGCAGTAGGTTTCTCAGTAAACTGTTGTTTACATATAAATTGCTCTTTGCTCTACAACGTATATTGTTTCAAATTATGCAGAAGAACTGATTCTAAGGAGAACACCTTTTTGTTTTATTTTTCATTTTTAGAAGATAATTTAAGGTCATTCTGATAATTCAGATACACCAAATTAAGGCTGCAACTAATTTACCAACCTATTCTAACTATTATAAGTCAATTGTTTTGTCTATGAAAGGTCAGATGTCTTGTTTCGTGTTATCAATAGTCCCAAACATGAAGATGTTAATTTGCTATAAAATTAGTCAACTAAAGGCAAAACAATTTGGAAACTGAAATTCTGAGAGTTTTTGGCACTTTTTCTTAACAGAGGAATCAATTGTCAAAATAGATGCTGATCATTCATCTGTCAATCAACCTAACCAAACCAGTCTTTTCAGCTGACGGATATCTGTTAGCGTAATTTCTTTATTACCTGCGCAGATGTTTCATCTTGTAAGCTGAGAAATGGCGGGTGTGACCACGTATGCACAGTGGGGGCTGAGGGCCACGTCCGCTGCAGCTGTGGAACAGGCTGGAAGCTGGGCGAGGACTCGAGGAGCTGCGTGGGTGAGACCTCATTGTCACTCCTCACACCGTCACTATACCTCTGTTAATTTGCTGCTCTGTTCTTGAGACAATGCGACACTGTTGTCTGGGATTTTGCAGATTTAGACTTGTCACCGAAATGAAGCTGTTTATTTTATATTTTATTATATTTTTAATGGGAGTTTTGGAACAGCTTGTGTCATAAAATGAGGTTATGCAGTATTTCTGAATATTCGTTTTTCAGTATTTAAGTACATAAATTGTTTATATATAAAGCTATTACCCCTCTGTTGATGGAAATTATTGCTGTAGTCTTTCAGATAACAACAGCGAAGTGCTAAAAGTTTTGCTTGAATCTAAACAACTATAAAATGATCTGAAATTAAGTGCGGGAAAAAATGTTTAGTCGTTTATGACCCTGAACAGTTCAGCCAGGACCAAGCTTTCATAAATATCTTGCCAGAGTTTCACCTGTTTAACTTTCTCTCCATGTCCTTTGTCATGAGATGTAAATGAGTGCGGGGACTTCACAAACGGAGGCTGTGAGCAGCTCTGTGTGAACCACCCTGCTGGGTTTAACTGCACCTGCAGGGAGGGGTATGAAGTTCGCACTGATGACCTCACCAAGTGCCAACGTGAGTCAGTCAACATATAGTGTTTTTTTTCCGCAAAAGAATCATGGAAACATTATTGTTAAAAGTGACTATTAATGCAACTTTTTTTATGATTTAAAAAAATCGAATCTATTAATGCTTATGACTCTGCCCTTCCAGCTGTGTGTGACCCTCGCTGTCAGAACTATGGTGTCTGTGTGGCTCCAAACAACTGTGACTGTCCTCTGGGATACCCTGGTGTGGGCTGCTCAGGTATAAACCTGCACTGTTCTACATGGGTGATCATAGGACCCTTAAACGAAATTGGTATGATAGATGAAATGGATGAAATTGAACAAAATCCAATTTGGTGTGTGTGTTTCAGCCATGTGCTCTCCGCCCTGTGCCCATGGAGGTACCTGTATGCGCTGGAACAAGTGTTTGTGTCCTCCGGGCTGGACCGGAGCAGGCTGCCACACAGGTAGATCCCCTCTGACACGAAGGTTAATGAAGAGTGTCCGCCTCTGTATAAAAACGCACTCCAGAGATAGTGTCTATAAACACAGAGATTGGTTTTAAGGAAGCAAAGCAGATTGCACAAAAAAACATTGATACAGAAGGAAGTAATATAAGACTTCAGGATAAAGGATAGAAATCTTACCTCAGGGTATGAAGTAATGTGTCATTACACGATGCTCATATTATTTTTTACAGTTTTTACCACAGACATTGTACATGAAACCCAAATGGTAATGATTAAATATAAATTCATCCTGTCTGACTTGTCTCTGTCAGCGGTGTGTGAGTTGCCCTGTGCTAACGGCGGTCGCTGTGTGGAGCCTGATACCTGCCAGTGTCCATCTGACTTCAGCGGTCAGCAGTGCCTTTTGCGTGAGTGAGAAAAACACCAGAACATTTTACTTTAGTTACACTAAAGGTCTGTCAATTTGACTTCTTACCTGCAGGCCGCTTCACACTGCTTGGTGAATTATGGGTTAAACCGATGTGTGTGTGTGTGTGTGTGTGTGTGTGTGTAGCCCTGTGCACTCCTGCCTGTCAAAATGGTGGAAGATGTGTGGATGTCAACAAATGTGCATGTGTTGGTGGATGGCAAGGAGCTCGCTGCCAGATAGGTGAGATTCTACACACTCATACATTGTCACTGCATGTGTGGATTGTTATATAACTAAAACATTTCAGTTAACACTGTACATGACTGATTTAAACCAGTGTTTTAATATAAGAAAACCCATAAATAAATAAAAATAGCAAAAAATAACAAACTGTCTTCAAAATAAAAGTTATGAGCATTGCCTCTCATTTATGCAAAGCCAAAGGCAGAATGTTTGAAATAAGACCACATTACTTTGACTTTTACTGTGATGAGGTTTTAAGGTTTCAAGTCAGAAAGATTGGGAACAACTGTCTTATCATACGTAGTTCCCCAGGCTGCCAGTCAGTGGCGCTCTGTACATGGTCAAGTGTAGCACCAGTTCACACCTGCAAAAATATAAATTAATAAATGACTAGAAGTTCATCTGAAGGTCATGTTACCTCCACAATAAACAGTCCAGAGTGAAAAGTAACACTGCCTGCTGCAACTCTGAAGCCATATTAATTCAAAAGAGACACAATCCATGTTCTCTACCAAAATACCAGTAATAGATAGTTAACAGATAAACCTCACAGTGTGTTTGCTCTCTGAGCTGGAGGAGAAGACGTGAACTGTTTTCTCTTCTGTCTCCCTCAGAACCTGTTCAGTGTCAGAAACCTTGTAAGAACGGAGGAGTGTGTGTGGGCCACAACAGGTGCCGCTGTGCCAAAGGATTCACTGGGAGCCTCTGTGAAACAGGTTGGTGTGTGTGTGTGTGTGTGTGTGCCTTTGCATTGCATTAACACTCTTGCTGTGTGCTGTGTGTGCAGCGGTGACCACCCCCTGTGTGCCGCCCTGCCAACACGGAGCCACCTGCAGTCCTCACAACACGTGCACCTGTCCAGAGGGCACCGCAGGCCTGCGCTGTGAACGACTGTGAGTGTGAATAACCACATGAGTAACAACACAATCACAAATACATAACACCCACCTCTGTGGGTCCTCAGTGTTGACTGCTAATCAATCAATGGTCTCATTTGAAGAAACTTGCTAAAATACATTGGAAATGCTTGATCATTTCAATTTGTCAGATCAGTTGTTGGAGATAATGGCCGCGTACTCTTTGGTAGATGGTCTTAGTCTTTGCATCTCTGATGAGCATTTGAAAAACTGTTTCTGTTCTAAAACCACTGTTTAAATTTGGCCTGCAGATACAGATTTGTGTGTTTATGTTCTAGGACGTGTCCTGTGGTCACCACGGTGGTCAGTATGGCTCGAGCGGTGAGAAAGGCGTTCAGGGAGAGTTACGTTGACCGCTGTGGACCCCTGGGAGTTCAGCTTTGCACTAAATACAGGTTACATGTTTTTCTGTTGCCTCCTTCGGCATTAAGTAGTTCAAGTTGTCTCCTGTTTGAGGTATCAGGTGGTTGGTTCAAAAAACGTATCTGATCTTCTTATCTACTTATTAAATACTTTGTTTTCCAAGGTCATAAAAATGATGGGATAATAAGAATGGCACTCAGGGGAGTACATACATCTGCCAACAACACCTTTGTGAAACCACATTTAAATTCACTGGATCCAGATTTTTATTTGGATCCATATATTGCACACACCCATAAATAATAGTCCCCCGAGCATGTGCCTTTTTCTGTAAGATCAAGAAATGATAACCTGAAAAATCAAGGAAAATGTTGAAAATTAGCAGATCTGCACAAAAAAAGTAAGGGATCATCTCTAACCCAGACTCTATCCTTCCATGACGTTTCGTGGTAATCGGTCCAGGAGTTTCTGTGTAATAACGCAGATGTGGGATGTGTGTAACATTAGAATTCATGGACCATGATTCAAACATGTAAAAGGTTGAATAACATCATAGTGTATTAGTATTACAGTGTTACAAGCTTTGACTGCTGCGTGGTTGTGTTTCCAGGATAAACCAGGCACGTGTGTACCTGCAGGCCTACAGGGTGGGCTACAAGATCCAGTGTCCGCAAAGGAAGGGCTGATGAGCGGTGCTGTCAACAACCTGCAGGTCACGAGGACACATCACCCATCAGACAAGATTTTAAACCGAAACTAACCTGTGAAACTAAATGTGACTGAATCAACGTGAGGTTGATGTGGCTTCTTTTAAATCAAGTCAATGTACTGAAATGAGAAAGGGGATTGTATCATTAAGGCTGTCTATTTGGTTATCTCACTTTTGTACACCATTATTTACATTTCATGAGAAATATTCCTTAGAATGTACAATAGATGTTTGTAATGTGGCAGCTGAGCGTTCTACAAAATGGTGTCAGTATTACTAAGGTTTTTATTGTCTGCAAACTTTCAGTGAAAGGTTGTGGTTGAAGAGTTCACTTCAGGGAATATTCCCAATAAAAAAAAAAATTCAAGTTAATGTCGTGGACTTAAAACCTCAGTTACAGCAGCAGCGTTGTGTGACTATGTACAATACATCTTATCACGGTAATACTTTTATCTAACCCCTGGCTCATGACTCCTTTTAAATTGCAGCCTGTAAATCCAGGTTAGCTCATTAGAGTGCATACCTGTGGTGGCTGAGATGTTTCACACAAGTGCATGAACGGAAAACACAGATGCGAGAGACAAGCATCTAATTTTAAGCAGAGACTGACTTGTCCGGGTTTTCACAAATGATGTACAGTAAATGACTGCCTGTTTCATTGTCAGCATCTGTTTTCACACACTTCCACTGTGGTTGTGTTTCCATTTTGTGGCTTTTGCATTTGTGTTTTTCATTAATGCACTTGTGTGAGATGTCTCAAACCGCTGTAGACACCTCCACTACGGCTCAACAATCTGACATATGATTGTTTAGTTCTTAAAGTAGACATATAAAAGAAAAACTGATATGGTCTGATAACCCTAATGGACTATTTGTCATAAAAGATAGTTGAAGAAAGTAAAAAAAAAATCTGACCCTTAATTTACATGTGTTCAAGATAGGTAATTCCCAAACCACACCCCTCACTAAGTTTAATGGGTATGGGTTTAATAGTTCTTGCATAATCACCCTAGACATCCAGCTAACTCTACTCCAAGTGGCCAAATATTTATTATTGCAACTATAAGAAGTGGATTAGGTCACCAAGAACACTAACTCATGTTAATGCATGTAGAACTTTATGTTGAACTTTATCCTGTTTCACAAACAGAATTCATTTGTCTGAAATGCAACTTAAAGCTTGAGGAGTGTCACACTTAACGTAGTGTGGCACAGATTTCATAGTGTTGGGGTGAAAGAATGACGCTAACACGGGGCTTTAAGTTAGGCTCCACCCCAGGAGGCATGGAGAAGGTGAAGTGCTGCATGAAGGAGGTGAAGAACAGGAAGAGCTCCATCCTGGCCAGGTTTTCCCCGAGACACACTCGCTTACCTGCAGGAAAAATACAGGACCATTCAACAGAGGAATGCCAAAGATACAGAAAATTATTTTAAGTTTTATGAAGACATTCATATGGTGGCTGAGACGTCTCACACAAGTGCATTAACGGGGAATGCGAATATAAAAGCCATGGTTGTGTTGTGGCTCTTGCAGTTGTGTTTTCCATTATTGCACCTCTGTGAGATCTCAGACACTGTACATTTCTCTTATAATATAACATAAAATCTCTATTTTACCTATAAAACCTTTTGCCCTTGTAAACTTGAAACAAGATCTTGGTTAGTTACTATCACTGCATGTTTGAAAATAGATTGTGCAAACCATCTGGGGCTCTAGAGGAATGTGACAAATGGCCTCTAGTGATGTCACAAAGTTTGAGGATGAAAGAAATGTTGGGGTGTGGTGATAGAAAGAAGGTGTTTTTAATTGCGAGCATGATTGAGTACAAGTTGCATTGTGGGTATAGGAATCAAGTTTAGGCTGCCCAGCATGAGTCTAACAGTTTGATAGGAGCACTAAATCAATGCAGTAAAATGTTGGGCAATATTTTGGTCCCACTTTTGTTTAAACGCAGGATGTACTTTGATTTGTTCTCTCATTGATAAGAGGAGGCACTATTGTAGGCTTGTGAAATGTTTACAATATGCTTAAGTAAAAGCAACATTTCCACTTATTACCTCAAATTTGTCACAAAATAATGCTCCTAAATACTTTTTTATTAAATAATACATTTCTCAGGATGATTCTGGTGTAAAGTAAACCAGCTGATCAGACAAACTAATGGATTAATAGATTTGTAAAAAAAAATATCTTGGCCATTAAAATGTGAGATGGTACTTGCCTGCAGAGAAAGGGATGAACGCAGCCTTCTTCACAAACCTTCCCTTCTCATTCAGAAAGTGTCCAGGGTTAAAGGTGTAGGGCGTCTCCCACTTGTTCTTCTCAAACAGCACCGAGGTCAAATTAGGAATCACTGTAACGCCCTGAAAAATGCATCACAATGAGTGGATTAAAGAGCGAGTGTAGCTGTGAGAGAAAAAAGACAGAACACAGTGCAAGAAATCACCTTTGGGAGTTTGTAGCCTCCCAGCTGGAGGTCTCTGTTGGCAAAGTGAGGCAGCCCCAGAGGGACGATGTTGCCCATCCTCTGCACCTCGTGGATGACGGCGTCAGTGTAGGGCAGGTCTGCACGGTCCTCCATGCACGGCTGTCTGGACTGTCCAATCACTCGGTCTATCTCTGCCTGGACCTTTTCTGTGCAACATGACAGAGAAGGGAACAAAACAAAACATATCTTACAGCAACAAGTATTCAAGTTTGTACTTTTTCCAACAAACTGCCTTCTTGTCCACATGTGTGAGCTCCTACCCTGAATCTCAGGGTACTTTGTCATGTAGAGCAGAGCCCAGCGCAGGGTGGTGGATGTGGTCTCAGTGCCGGCTCCAAACAGATCGAACGAACACATCACCAAATTATTCTCATTAAAACCAGCATCCTCTTTATCATCCTTCTTGCTCTAATGGTGAAGATTTAAAAAAAATACACATCGTCATATTGATATTTCAATTTGAATGTAAAATCTACATGTAAAATACAATGGTATACTAAATTAATGAGGATATTATGTAACACGTGGTCAAAGATTAGGCAGGGTGGGAAATTGATTATTCAACATTTGATGTATATCATACAGACCGCAGGAATATCATTATCACTTCACTTTTTAAGTTTATTTCAAAATACGTAATCTACGTAATACGTAATCTCCTTTGACTTCAGTAGATTTTAAATAATTATATGCTCGACTATTATAAGAATGGCTACGTTACAATCAAAAATTCAAGTAATAAACTATAAATTATATATTTATAATAAATTTTCAATGGTTGTGATTTCACTGCACGAACATATACTACAGACCTCTTTAGGAAGTTTATAGTTTTTATACTCCAATGATTAGTCAGAGAGGGCCCATTGGAAACCAAGAATGAATTTATAATATTAAAGTTATTTCACTAAATGTAAATTACACCTTAACCTTTAGGAAGAGTAAAGCCTAACAATTATTATTGTTATTATTATTATTTTCATTGCCAACTTATCTTTTGTGAATTTACACCGTTAATCAAAAGCTTTTAGATAGTGTTTGAAAATAGTGATAAAAAGCCCATCACATTTTCAAGTCTAAAAGTATAAATGTATTGTCCAACCAACAGTAGAAAAAAATTAAGATTCTCACATTACCATTAGATCAACAAAAGAATCAACCAAGGATTGTGGGTTTAGGATCTTGCACAAAATCTTACTTAAAACAATGAAACGTTTGTTCACCCACCTTCTGAATTTCAGTCAGGTAACAGTCGATGAAGTCTCTGGGCTCTGCGGGGTCCCAGTCTTTCTTGTGTTGATTGATTTCGATTTTCATCAGCTTTACCATTTCACCGTAAATCTTCTGAAGAGTGTGGTGAGGGCCCGGCAGACGTTTAATCAGCATTGGAAACCCATTATACAGCTGGTGATATGACCGAGAAGACTCAAAATAAGAGGACTAGCAAGAACACGTGTTTCTAGAAGCAGTACTTGATATGAGTGCGTCAAAATGGCAATGAATCAATACAGAGTAGAAAAAGCTTTCATTAATGCTGCAGCTTTTAAAAGCAGTACCTGCGCCCAAATGGAGCCCTCGATTTGAGTTGCTTTATCAATCAACTTCATCATAGTGACAAACTTCTCATCGCCGTATTCAAAGCGATGACCAAACACCAGGGAGCAGATAATGTTGGAGACGGCATTGTTCATAATCATGTGAGGATTAAAGGGTTTGCCTGTGAAGGTGATCACATATCAGACTTTACACATCTGACCTCAGTTCATACTATTATTGTCTTTTTGCTTTTTAGATTCTTTACCGTCATGAACAGCAATCTCTCTAGATATGTAATTAAATTCGTCCTGTATGGTAGATTCCAGTGATTTTTTGCCAACTCCAAAGTACTTGAGAGTGAAGAGGGCAAATTGCCTTTGCTGTTTCCACAAGTATCCATTGGTAAAGATAATACCTGATGAGAAAAATGGAATTTAGACATAAATGAGTTCAGAGTTCAAAAAAGGTTCAAGGTAGAAGTGGAGATATTTACAGTCACATACAAAATGTCATACATTGCTATTCCTCTTCCACAGTGAGTAGAAACTATCTATGGAGCAGCCCGGGTTATGGAAATAGAAAATCTTTACCCAGGTCAGGGAGCACGTCAGTATGGAGAGGAATTAACGGTCGGTCAGCCAAGATGTTTCCGTTGGTGAGTAGACCTTCTTGCAGGGCGTCGAGGCCATTCAACACCACTATCCAGGAGGAGCCCATTTTGAGGCTGTACACATTCCCGTACTTCTCTGCTAACTGCCACAAAAACAGCATAAGTGAGATTTAAACAGCATAAATACAACCTTGGCCTAATGAGTAAATAGTCTCCACCCACAATAGCACTTATTGTTTTAATGTTAAATGGGGATTAAGCTGCATTTGAGCGAATTAATTTGGAAATCTGGATCTATCATTGCACAACTTCCTTTTGATCCGAACATATGTTGTTTTGCCTTTGTCCAAATTGTAAAGTATTATCGATCGAAAGTTTGAGTTATTGTTAATAATTTTACACAATACATGTGAATGTTTTCCATACTAAATTTGTATTCATTCCAGCGTAGGATCACTGTTACATTTAAACATTGTCTACTTCAAACAGCCACATTCACCTGTACAGAGGGTGATACAGGAGGGATCAACACAGGCCCGAGAGCACATTTGAACATTATCATTTTATGCTTTTAATCCACATCATTTCAGATGCAAATGTTGCACTTTTTACGCCATTAAATTAAGATACAAGTCATTATCCCAAACTGGCTTGTTGCAGAAATACGTGTAGACTCAATGTTTTTAGTCTCAATGAGAGTCACAACTTTTCATTAAAAGATGAAATAGTATGACTGGTATTTTTCTCTCCTACCTCAGAAGTTACCTCCTCCATTATTTTACAAATAGCCCTGATTCATAGTGTGACACTTTGGACTGGACCCAAAACTAAACTTCTGTAAAGTACAATATGAATCTTGCTCCACGATGAGAAGCTACATTGGTAAAATGCTGTTGATATGTGTATTGACACTTTAATAATGCAATATAAGAATATAACCATCACAGAGCTTTTATTTTTGTAATGTTGGAGTTTTACTGCAGAACTTAACTAAGTATTTTACACTGCTGTACTTTTATTGAAGTAAATTATCTGAGTGCTTCCTTGTAATGTACATTATCTGAATCCTACCTTGGTCATTTCTCTGTGGAGATTGTTAAAGTCAAGGGAGAACATGGTCCCCACAAGAGGAAGCACCCGTGGTCCTGGAGGAAAGCCGCTGGGACGACGGGTCCTCAAACACGCTGCTATCACCAAGAAGACCAGAGTGAAGAGGAGCAAGCTGCGAACGTCCTGCCACAGCCACAGAGAGGAAACGGAAAAACCAAAGAGCCCATCCATCCTCACAACCTGCTGCCTCTGGATCCACGGGGAAAATCTGCAGTCATTTCGATGGTGCTCTAGTTTTATATAATCACCTTAGGGCAAATTCCCAGAGGTAATAAAAACAAATATCTTTTTATTTATGCCTGAGTTGTGATCCGCTACATGTGTCCTGGAAGTTCAAACAAGAGACAAATGGTTTTTCTCTCTAAGTAGAGCTTTTATATCAACAACAGTGGGTGGGTCATCAAGTTTTTCTTTGTGTGCATGTCCAGATGACCACCAATAAGTGACTGTTGTGCTAGTTGGGTTATGTAACAGTTCTATAATCATTTACAGCCTATGTACCCAGATAAGGAGGCAATACCTCTATCCTTTGCCACACTTTGTCCACATTCATTGTTAAACAGTTCAAGTCATTTTAAAGGGATAGTTCACCCAGCTTGTTCCAACAGCTGTTTTAGCTTCTCCCACGATTTGTCCGGTTTTGTGGGTATTGTGAAGCTGCCTTGATGAATGAAGCTGGGATCGTTTGCTTATATCCTCATAGCACAGGAAGTCACAATAAAATTGAAGAGAGGAAAGCAAATGTTGTTTTCCTCTTTATACCATGACCCTGAAGACACCCACTTCTGCTAAAGCCAATATGGAAGCTTGTCTAGGATAGGTCAAATTCCACTGGAAGTGTCCAGATTTGGAATAATCCCGATCTGTCAAAACGCTGAGACAGTGACTTTTCGATGATCTCAAAAAGTTTCCATCACTTTACAAAAAAACAAAACTAATATACATTCTGCACATTAAATATTAAACATTAACTTAAATTATCACTTGTCACCAAATAAACAGTAAAGTGGAACCATACACAATTATTGAAATATGCACTTTATTTTCAAGTGAGAAAGCAACAAAGATCTTTGAATTGTGCAGTGTAAGGCTAAGCTAAGCTTGTCTATAGAAAGAGATCTCATAGCCCATTTTGGGAAGGTTAGGCCTTAACAGATACAAAGAAACCAAGAGATCTCAGCAGGAGCCACCATGTTATGTTACAGAAGCCATTCAGTTTGATATGTTTTAGTAGTAAGTCGTGACAGGACGGAAAAATACTATTGACCTTTGTGCTATTTGTAGAGTATTAACGGGGTGATACACAGATTTCATAAGGATTTGGTGCCAGAGTGAGACCAAAACAGTACTCCATCTCAGATTTCACCCCAGGCGGCATGGAGAAGGTGAAGTGCTGCATGAAGGATGTAAAGAAGAGGAAAAGCTCCATCTTGGCCAGGCTCTCCCCGAGGCACACTCGTTTACCTGAGACGGATAAACAAACTGAGTCAAGCAGAACATTTTGTCCCTTGTTAGCCCTAATTTCAGGGCTATAAGAAAGGTCAAACATCTCCATTGATCTGCTGGTGCCCACTATTAAATAATGATCAACAATTCCCACTAATCATTTTTTCAGCTTCTCCTGGTGTGTCACTGCGAAATCAAGACAAATGTCATTGTAGTGATCACTGACACTTGCATAAAGGACCAAGTGATGATCCCTGACCTTTTTCCTGTCTCTATTCTCAAAGGTCCCAGGGTGTGCAAAGGACAGGCCACAAGTCCCTGATTAAGCAGGTAAGGAAAGCAATAACACAAGTGACAGTGTTTCTCCTCACCTGCAGAGAAAGGGATAAGAGCAGGTTTCTTCACAAACTTCCCCTCCTCATTCAGAAAGTGTCCTGGGTTAAAGGTGTAGGGCGTCTCCCACTCATCCTTGTCGAACATCACCGAGGTCAAATTGGGGATGATTGTAATGCCCTGGTGAGAGTTTATAAATAAGCGACATGAAATGTGACATGAAAACGCCAGTTTTCTTTTATTGCATTAGTTTCAACCAGTTACAGTCTCAACGTTAAAGTACTTGCATATTAAGTCTTAACTTCCCCACTAAGCTACTATGAGACGTAACTGTTTCACTATGGATCCATTTCAGCTAAATGAAATGAAATGGATCTTTTTTATTCAAGGTTCTGGAAAATTAAATATCTTTTCAAATAATATACTTTAAGGAAACACTTTTTTTTCAACAGTTTCCAGTCTGGGTCAAGACCCCTTCACAGCACTGAGACAGCACTTGTCTGGTTACTAATGACCAACTACTAAATGACAATAGAGGTAACTGCTTGATTTTAGTTCTTTAAGTCATCATTTGTAGATGACACTTTAAGTTACGTTGCCATTAAACACCATAGATCGCAGTCTAACAAATTTCACAAACTGCTCTGATATTAAACCGCAATTTCCTTTACTTTAACGATGACATCTGTCTTATCTCACATCAAGGCAATCTACAAAATTAAATATTTTTATATTGATCACTGATTTAAAAAAGTTGTACATTGCCTTCATTAGGCCTACTGTAATGAATTTTACTCAAGTATCAGCCAGACATCCGTACATCAATTAATACAAAATACTGCCTGTCGGCTTAATGCTGGGACAGAAAGGCTTGACTCCATCACCCCTGTGCTTTTATCCTGACTCCCTACTAAATTTTGTGTTGACTTTAAAATTCTGTTGCTCACTTTTAAGGCCTTATACCCAAATACCTTTTATATATATTGACCTAAGATCCACAGATGGAGCCCTGCAGGTTATGTCCAGATCTCATCTGGTAATAAAGGGTGACTAAGCTTTTACTGTCTGAGCCCCAACAGAATTTGCTCCCCATTTAATTCTTTTAGGTTTTTTAGTCTCTTCTTAAAAAATTTCTTTTTATGAAAGCTTTTGCATACTATTGGCATTGGCTCTCTTATCTTCTTAACACTGACAACTGCTATGTTCATCTTCCATTGTTTTATTCTCATTGTTTCTGCCTTGGAAACCATTTGTAACATTGCCTAGAAAATTGCTATATAATTGTATTATTATTATTATTATCATGGTAAATTACCTTTGGGATGGTGTAGCCTCCCAGCTGGATGTCTCTGCTGGTGAGATGAGGCAGGCTTAGAGGGGCTATGTTGCCCATCCTCTGCACCTCATGGATGACAGCGTTAGTGTAGGGCAGGATTGCACAATCCTCCATGTATGGCAGTCGGGACTTTCCAATCACTCTGTCTATCTCAGCCTGGACTGTCTCTGTGCAACAAGAGGGAAACTGTCATTTGAATCAGTCACAAGAGGACACACTGTATTATTTAAAAGTATTTACACATAGTTATTCATTACAGAGTTTGTGAAGGGCACTAGTGATTTCATAATATAGCCTCTGTCAGTAGCATTATTGAAGCAGGTCATTTGGTGTGAACCTGAAACACTGGTATTGATTTTCTACAGCAGCAAATGTGTTTACTATCATTCATATGCACGTTACTATGTAAGAACAAAGAACATCAGCTTGGTCGGGGCTCTTACCTTGAATTTCAGGGTTATCTGCCATGTAAAGCAAAGCCCAGCGCAGGGTGCTGGATGTGGTCTCTGAACCAGCCACAAACAGATCGAGGATGCTCATAACCAGGTTGTCCTCAACAAATCTATTGTCTGGCTGTCCCTTATTCTGAGAATTCAGACAAATGGCATATCGGTTGGAATATAAATGATATCAACTAAGAGTCTGTGTTATTGCAGAAATTCAAAATCTTTTATGATGGTAACTTTTCAGGTGACATAAAAAAGTCAGGGGGACACTTAAGCCTGCCATTTTGATAAATATGACAAAAAAACCCTTTTTTTTCACAATCAATTACATGCATATATCGTCAAAATGGCAATACCAGTGATCATTAACGCTAGGCTAAAATAGCAAAAATATCTAAATCCTGTGATAGCCATCAGTAAAAACCTCATAATATAAGATAAAACTTAGTTTCTAGAGTCACTCACCATCTCATTCAGGTAACAGTCTATGTAGTCTCTCTGGTCTGAGGGATCCCAGTTCTGTTTGTGCTTTTTAACCTCTACTCTGATAAAGTCCTTCACTTCACTCCAGATGTGCTGGACTGTCTGATGTGGCCCCGGCAAACGTCTCATCAGCAGAGGGAACGAGTTGTAGAGCTGCACAGTATAGAACATAATATTTTCTGTCCATATCTATTAAAACTAAACTACTGCTAAAATACTTAGTATTACAAATCAGCTCTTGTGCAGCCTGTTCCATGTTGTGCTGTTGTTTTCTAATTATTTGTATACGTGTGCCCAAACAGAGCCACTGCCCTGCTTTATAATGAGAAATGTAATGCACAAAAAAGCACATAATAGGTTTTGATCACGAGATTTTAATTGTGGTACCTGTGCCCAGATGGAGCCTTCGATCTGAAGGCCTTTTCCTGTCAGCTTCATCATCTTCATGAAGGTCTCGTCACTGTACTCGAAGCGATGACCAAAAACCAGGGAGCAGATGATGTTGGAAACGACGTTGTTGATTGTGAGATGTGGATCGAATGGCGCACCTTCACCATAGAGCAATAAATTATATGCAGATCATGCATGTGTTCATTATGCATGATCTGCGTTGTAACCGCTCACCTTTATTGCCACTGAACTCTTTTGCACAATGTGTAAATTCATCCCGGATGACAGTTTCAAGTGACCTCTTGCCCAATCCAAAATGTCTGAGGGTTGAAAGTGCAAAACGTCTTTGCTGCCTCCAGATGTGACTCTTGCTGAATACGAGACCTAACAGGAAATATGCAGAGTCAAACAAACTTCTCCAAATTTAAAACAAGACTTTATTTTAGCATGAGGTCTCATCTAAGATAATGCTGTATACAAAAATATATATAAGTGTAAATTCAGTAACAGGAAGAAACAAGTTTATCTTGCCAAATCCGTACAGCAGAAACATAATTTACTTCAAAGTGTGCACTCAACTTTACTGTATGATTATTCACAGGCATTGCAATACACAATGTCTGTGTGTGTGTGTGTGTGTGTGTGTGTACTGTGACCTCTCACCTAGACCATTGCTGATGTCATTCATCAGAGGAAGATCAGGACGCTCTGCCAGGCTGTCCCCCTGCGTCACCAGAGCTTCTTTCAGAACCTCAAACCTGTTCAACACCACCATCCACGCTGAACCCATTCTCAGGCTGAACACGTCTCCATATCTTCTCCCTAACTGTGAGGAGGTTTGAGAGAAAAGCTTGAGCATTGATGCTACTGATAGAACAGATCACAGACAAATGAGTCCTGTCCTTGGTTGACCCACCTCTGTCAGACTCTCGTGAGTCCTGCTGTGGTCCACGGTGAACATGTTGCCCACAACAGGAAGGGCCCAGGGTCCTGGAGGGAAGCTGACCGGCCGACGGTTCTTGATATAATCTGTGGTGAGGATGAAAACTGCCAAGAAGAGCAGCAGACTTTTCACATCCCAGGCAAAGTAGGATCCAGTCATGGAAAATAAGGAATCCATCATGTGAAAACGGACTTGGGTTTTTCCACCTTTCTTTTGGCTTCCCCTCTTGTGAAATGTTGTTTTTCCAGTCGTTCCCCTCCTCTCTCTTATGAGGCTGCAGCTACTACTGGACTCTGACCTCATAGAGCATGGTATGCGTCTACTACTGTAACATGGAAATACGAGCACACCCTAAACACTGAAATGAGTCAATTTTGAATCAAGACAGCTGAATATTTCTGTACTCCACCTAACTCTGCAACTTTTGTTTTTGTTATGTAAAGTGAACAGACATTTTTTATTTTAATAAACAAGAAAGTGAGAACTGGTCAGATGGAAACAAAACCATTGAGTATGTACTTTTACAACTATTTTGTAGTTTATTCAGCGATAGACAGTGTGTGTGTTGTTTCTTAATCTTGTAATAACGTGGCTATACCTTCTACATTTAGATGAAATTAACGCTAAAATAAAATGACAAATAAAAAATATGTTGTGGTGTCTGAAATGCTATGTGTAGTCCTCCCCATAAAAGAAATTTATCTTTAGGTTTGAGGTCCACAGGTCTTGAGGAATTTGGAGAAAGCCTGAACAAATGGTAGGGTGATAGGTCACAGCTCTAAGTGCAACATTAAATTTGGGCTAGTGTCGTCTCCCTTCCTGTGACTGTATAAACGTGAAGAGCTGGTGCTATTCCCTTCCTGYCACCGGACAATCTGGAGGAAAGCCAGATGCATTTTCTTTAGGTTTACGCAAACAACCCTCCTATWTAAACYAGGAGATGAAGTTGCCTCAGCAGAAGATTCACATTGGCCCCGAATCTCTCTCCAGGCAGATTGCTTTGCTTGTATTGATGCTGAACTTTTTGTATTAAACTTTTATATACAATCAAGACGGTGTCATCGGAGATTCCTTCATCATCTTCACATCATCGCAACCCCAATATACGACAATGTCAAGCTCACAAGGCCCAAGTCCTTGAATTGAAAAGAAAGTTTAATGTAATGAATGGAACTGGGTTTACAATCTACCTGTATCTAAGCAGACCGGCAGAAATGCATGCACACACACACACACAGACACACACACACACATTTGCACAAGGACACTTGAACATGTGGATGACCTGCTCTGCATCGACCACAGCTGTTTCACGAAATAGATCAATAAGAACAGTGATGTCAATAATTTTGTCCATAGTCTGTAGGAGGAAATGTAATAAACACTTCTTGCTGTTGTAGCGCTGTATTTTGACACAGGATGACAGTATATATTGTTTAATCATTTCAACCAAAATGAATTGTACACAAGTTAATATGAGCGAGAAGACTCAGAATAAGAAAAGTGCAACAGTGAGAAAATGGACTCAGGTAAGAAGTGACAAGACAGAAAGAAGTATATAAGTTCTTGTAGTAATTTTTTTTTAGTAAATTAGCGAGGTGTTGCGCAGATTTCATATGGATGTGGAGCCAGAATAATGCTAAAACTCTGCTTCATTACTGGCTTCACCCCAGCGGGCATGGAGAAGATGAAGCACTGCATGAAGGAGGTGAAGAAGAGGAAAAGCTCCATCTTGGCCAGGGTCTCACCGGGGCATATCCGTTTACCTGAGACAGGAACACAAACTGAATAAAGCTGGAAAATGTCTGTGCACTGATTCAGTAGAGGAAAGGTAGTCAAACATCTCCATTGCTCTGCTGGTGCCCACTATAGGAGCAGAAATTATGATCATTTCCCACTCATGATCTTTTCACTTTCTCCTGATGTACCATAAAAACACTTTATGAGGGAAACAGATCAGTGTCACTGCAAAATCAACACAAATTTTCTTGGTCAGCGACACATCTCACAGGAATGATGTGGTGATGACCTCTGACCTTTGTCCTGTGTGTATTCTCAAAGGTCCTGGTAGCGACAGCCTCCAGGTCCCTGAATAACCAGGTAAGGACAGTAATAAAACAAGTGTTGCTCCTCACCTGCAGAGAAAGGGATGAAAGCAGGTTTCTTCACAAACGTCCCCTCCTCAGTCAGAAAGTGTCCAGGGTTAAAGGTGAAGGGAGCCTCCCACTCGTTCTCGTCAAACATCACAGAGGTCAAATTGGTTATCACTGTGACGCCCTGTTGAGAGTCCATATATAAGCGACATGAAATGTGATTTAAAAGCACCTCTTTTTCTTATCATGCACTAGTTTGGGAAATGACCTTTGGGATGGTGTACTCTCCCAGGTGGAGGTCTCTGTTGGTGAAGCGAGGGAGGCTGAGAGGAATAATGTTGGCTATCCTCTGCACCTCGTGGATGACGGCGTCTGTGTAGGGCAGGTTTGCACGGTCCTCCATGCACGGCCGTCTGGACTGTCCAATCACTCGGTCTATTTCAGCCTGGACTTTCTCTGTGCAACAGGAGGGAAACTGATTTTTGAACCAGCAATACGAGGACACAGTATTATCAGTTTAACTTACTATCTATATGGCACCCTTTATTTAATTTACTGCATCTCAAAGTGCTTCACAACTGACTGATGACCCAAAAAGTGTCATTGAATTGCAGGTTACTGTGTAAGAACAAAGCTCCATCAGCTTGGTCAGGGCTCTTACCTTGGATTTCAGGGTTATCTGCCATGTAAAGAAAAGCCCAGCGCAGGGTGCTGGATGTGGTCTCTGAACCAGCCACAAACAGATCGAGGATGCTCATAACCAGGGTTTCCTCCTCAAAACTACTCTCAACCTGCCCCTTGTTCTGAGAATTCAAACACATGAGCTGAAACATGTTGCAATATAATTCATTTTAACTATAAATTAGTGCTATTGCAGGAATAAAAAAACTTTCATATTGACGACTTTGGATTGAACCTCTATTGGTTAAATGTGTATAAGGCTTCGGTTTGTTAAAATGAGCTGTATCCTATCCACGTCCTCTACATATGCAAAAATGCAATGCAATGTTGAGAGCTGGCCATCTTTGCAAACAACTCAACACAAGTGATAAAACTTAGTATGTAGTGTCACTCACCATCTGAATCTAATTCAGGTAAAAGTCTATGTTCATTTTATCGTGAATGTTTTTCATAAAATGGAACTTAATTTGCTTTATTACTTTATATATAACTTTTTGATATTGTCTCACTTTTAATTTTTTGTGTCCTTGACATTGCAAAGTTTTTTAACTACAGTCTCTGGTGCAGAATAAAAATAGAACATTTTGCATTCATCCTATCTGGTTTATCTGTAATGTACATTTTGTAGTGTTTTGCAATGTTTTTTCATAAAATTAGACTTAATTCGCTTTATTACCATGATTTATTATTTATCAGTACAATGCGAAGTTAAAAGATGGCCATCATTAAAAACCACATAATATAAGAGATAAATCTCAGTTTCTAGAGTCACTCACCATCTCATTCAGGTAACAGTCTATGTAGTCTCTCTGGTCCAAGGGATCCCAGTTCTGTTTGTGCTCTTTTACCTCTGCTCTGATAAAGTCCTTCACTTCACTCCAGATGTGCTGGACTGTCTGATGTGGCCCCGGTAAATGTTTCATCAGCAGAGGGAACGAGTTGTAAAACTGCAAAGTGGAACAAGAACATATCAGAACACCTCTTAAATATTTGGATTACAGTAATTTAGTGTCCAAACAGAGCCCCTGGCATGAATGATAAGCTGCTCCACAATGAAAAATACACTGCACAGAAAGAGCACGGTTTTGATGAGCAGATGTAAAATGTGGTACCTGTGCCCAGATGGACCCTTGGATCTGGAGGCCTTTGGGTAACAGCTTCATCATTTTCATGAACATCTTGTCACCGTACTCAAAGCGATGACCAAAAACCAGGGAGCAGATGATGTTAGAGACGGCGTTGTTGATGGTGAGGTGTGGATTGAATGGTGCACCTTCACCATTGAGCAGGAAATCATTATTAGTATGTCATTATATATTATTGCACATCATAAACAGGCCTCTATTTGTCCACCACTCACCTTTGTTGGAAATGAACTCTTCTGCACAATATGTAAATTCATCCAGGATGACAGGTTCAAGTGACTTCTTTGCAAATCCAAAGTTTCTGAGGGTTGAAAGTGCAAAACGCCTCTGCTGCTTCCAGGTGTTCCCGTTGCTGAAGTTTATGCCTGATGGGAAAGAATGAGATTAACTCCTGAACATAAAGTTTAATTGATTTTATTATTTATTATGTATGTTCACGGGTAAAAGGACAAAAATGTGATTAACATAGTGAGACGTACAAAAATGTTCAAATAAAAACAAAAGTGAGACTTATAGTGAGATGAGAACTGTGAAGCTTTTTGTCTCTCTGCAGGTTTTATGTCCTCTCACCCAGTTTATGGACTATTTCCACTTGCAGAGGGAGATCAGGACGCTCTGCCAGGCTGTCCCCCTGCGTCACCAGAGCTTCTTTCAGAACCTCAAACCTGTTCAACACCACCATCCACACTGAACCCATTCTCAGGCTGAACACGTCTCCATATCTTCTCCCTAACTGTGAGGAGGTTTGAAAGAAAAGCTTGAGCATTGATGCTACTGATAGAACAGATCACAGACAAATGAGTCCTGTCCTTGGTTGACCCACCTCTGTCAGACTCTCGTGAGTCCTGCTGTGGTCCACGGTGAACATGTTGCCCACAACAGGAAGGGCCCAGGGTCCTGGAGGGAAGCTGACCGGCCGACGGTTCTTGATATAATCTGTGGTGAGGATGAAAACTGCCAAGAAGAGCAGTAGACTTTTCACATCCCAGGCAAAGTAGAATCCAGTCACGATGGAATCCATCATGTGAAAAAGTGAACTCAAACTTGTCAAATGTTATATGAGACAAAAGGTTGAACGTCTCCCCCCTCTCTCCTGTAATGCTGCGGCTTGCTATGGTTGGATCTTTACCAACACAGCTATTATTTGTACTCTTATTTGGACTCTGACTCTGACCCATATAATGTAGTGAGACTAGACACCGATATGCAGAGATAGAACTTAAATCAAAGTTCACGATTCAGGTCACTCACAGCTGTTAAATTGGGTGAACTCAGGTCAGGCTGCTGAGTAAAGTCTTGCACAACAAGAGAAATGTCTCTTCAGGACTGCCACACACACACACACACACACGTTTATACTACTATCACAGTGAGGACACTCATTGACATAATACATTCCCTAGCCTCTTACCCTAACCTTAACCATCCAGACGAAGACCCTAACCCTAATCTTAAACTAACCCTAACCCTAAAACCAAGCAAGCGGGCCGGTTTACATGTCCTCACTTTCCAAAATGATGTCACTCTGTAGGGTTTTTGCTTAAAATGGTCCTCACAAAGGTATTAGTACAGTAGAACAGGAACACACATACACACGTAAAGGACACAGAAATAGATCAGTAGTGTCCACATAATTTGGGCCATGTGCTGTTAATGCAGTAAATCATTCATCATGCTGTAATACTACCTTTCAACACAGGATGGCAGTATATGGTTTTGTAATTTTTCTACTTATGGGAAATAGACAATTCTTGCTTCAAAATAAAATAAACTTGTCGCTCGTTAAAGGGGTAGTTCACCCTAAAAATGAAAATTCAAACACTTCACCCACCCCTCCATCATAGTGGTGAGTGGATAATGAGTGAATTTTCATTTTGGGGGAAACCATCCCTTTTTATAAAATAAAGTGTAACAAGTGACAAGTTTAGAAAACTGCTACGGAGTAGGTGGGAGTGTAAATGTCACTGCAACTATTCAAATCATAATGAATTTATTTTATTTTCACTTAATGATTTTATTCAGTAGTTTGAGTTCAAGATTGAATAAATATTTGGACAATGAAATGTGTGTTATAATGAACTCGACGAATGTGACAGTAATCGTGTGGGTGGGTTTTACTTTGAAAGCGCACTAACCGGACGCGCTGCGGTGTGTTTCCTTGTAGCTCGTGTGAGCGGTCGTGTCCTCCAGCAGCCCCGGTCTGACAGCAGGTCATCTTAGGACAGAGACAGCTCAACCATGGTTTTCGAGGAGAAGATGATCACGAACGGAGAGCCCGAGGATGTTAGTGCATTTTACTGATTCAACACGACTCTGCCATGCTAGTACCGTTCGGTTGTTTCTGCCGAGAAGCTAACAAAACACGGCTAACTAAGCTACACGGAACGGCTAGCTTATGTTAGCGTTAGCCACCGGCGCCGTCCAGGAATATGTTGACGCTAATTCGTGTAGTTTAAACACGCATTTATCATCTGTGACGTTTGTTTACCAGCTGTTGGTGTCGTTCATGCTGAAGTGAAGCTGCCGATGGTTAAAGGACAATGATGTAACTGGGTTGGTTTGTGTGTGTGTGTGTGTTTCAGGAGGAAGAAGAAGAAGAGGAGGAGGATGAAGAGGACATGGTGGTATGTTCATCAAAATGCGTTGCGTGACCCTCAGAATCTCAGTGGAGGACATGAACTTGTAGATGAACGAGAGGGTGTTTGGATCTCCGAACTAGAATTCTTGTTAACTCTCCTCCACATGAACCCTCCTCTGCCAGCACCTTTTCTTAGGACCACATCTATCAACACAAGGTTTTGTGTCACTCTGATAAAAGCCCTTGCAAACGCCACAGAGTTTTGAGGTATCAAATCAGTGCATATTCACAAATCACCTCAAGGTGTGACGTCCTCAGACTTTAGCCCTCGAGTGACAAAAGATTACTTTAAACAAAATCCCTCATATCAGAGGAAAACAAACCTCAGAGAGCTGTGAGGGATCCCTCTCCCAGGACAGACAGACGTGCAATAGATGTCCTGTGTAGTGGAGCACATCAACAATATAACAATATTTACAACAGTCATGAGAAATGACAGCGTCTACCCAAACGCTTCTCCCTCCTAGCCCACTTTAAGAAAAGGGCTCAGACTACATGCATTATGGGCCGATTTGACCCATGCTCAACCACCCCTGGAGAAATTTGCTCCAGAATCTTCATAGGTACTGATATTTGTCCAGATTATATTGTAGCATTTGGAGGTCACAGTGCCCTTAATAGAGTTAGAGATTACTATCTGCAAACCCCCACACTTCAGGATAATTTGACCAGATAATCTGTTGAGATCAGCCTCAAATCGGAGACCCCCTGTACCCAACAACTGTCTGGAGGACTGAATCAGACTTTGAAAACCATGGGGCTACTGAGTGTAGTTCTGATTATCTACTGATCTGCTTGGTTTGGCGTGATTCAGCTGTCTCCTCAAACCACCTGTTTCAAGGGAGCTCAAGTCAAGACACAGCTGTGAAATCTTCTGCTCAGAGCTGTTTTGCCTCATGCATGTGGTTTGCCTGGACAGGACAGTAATGCTACATGGGAAGGGCAAAAAAGGCCTTGACTCTTGTTACTTGTCTTACAAATGATCTGCATTCTTACAATGGTCTCATTATTGTATTTCAACATGCATCTCATATTGAAGGACGATCTTTATGGTATATTTTCCGAATGCTGTGTGTTACAGGATCCTCTTGAAACAGTGCGACAAAAGTGTGCAGAGACGGAGCACTGTGTCCACACTCAGGAGCGTCTGGAGCAGTGCGAGACCAGAGTTGGCTCTCGGTCTGCGACAATGGAGGACTGCACTGAGGAGCTGTTTGACTTCCTGCATGCTCGGGACCACTGTGTAAGTGAGACATTTACCATTGAGGGCCAAGTTATTATAATACAACACAAAGCAGCAGAGAAGGAGTAGCTATTTTGTTAAAATTCAAGTAACATTCAAGTAAAATCTCCTTTTCAACTCGTGGGCAGAGTCTTCCACAGCTCGTCTTTATACTTGTATTGAAGGTTCTCAGCACTGCCCCTTGAGGCTGACAGAGCTTGTAATGAGAAGGTGGCACTTCACAGATGTCAGGACACATTTCCTCATAGAAATCATTAAAACAAGTGGTCTTCACATAATTATTTAGCAAGACGTTAGTGCTCACCAATGGCCTAACATACAAGAAGTGAACTTTCACCGACATGCAGCAGTCGTGAACACATTTTACCCCAAAAATAAATACAATACAAGCTGTAGCTACAAGCGTTTTCCATTGTCCATTTTGTTTGACAGTACATTCTTATACAATGCATAAGTCTAAACTTTTCAATCCCACTTAAGGCTCTTCAAGTTATCTTACCTTCAACTGTATGTTTACATAAATCAATGACCTCTCATGTCCTCTCTCTCTCTCTAGGTGGCACACAAACTGTTCCACTCGGTCAAATGAAATGCTTCCTGATTGTTGCACCGCTGGCTGATGACATTCTTCAAATATTATATTATGAGGAGAACATGGTTTAAATACATCCACATGTGGATCTGCTGTATGTTTTGACTTTCAATGTATACTATACTGTATCTGCTCATGTAAAGAAACAAAGTATTTAACAAGGTAGTCTGAGTCAACGTTTCATTAAAGTAGATGGCCGGAAAACCTTAACCCGTGGCTTTGTGAGTGATTTTTGTAAGGCTGAAACAGCAAATMCATGTAGAAATTAGGTTTGAATAAACTTACAACAGTAATTCTATGGTCAATTTAAATAGGAGGTATAATGTCATCTTTACTCATCCCTTCACTTTGTGCTCTTAGATAACACATGACAGCAATAGATCCACCAGCGTAGCTTTTTACCACACCTCCATAAAAATCGTACTTACTGGGTTTTTATGACGACATGAAAAACTTGATGCTGTAATCTGAAATGAACATTGCGATCATGTCATGTAGCAAAATAAACATTACATAACTGTCTTGTTTTTGCAAGATATTGCACCTGGGTCAAGGGACAGTTTTAACTGTTTAAAAAATAACGGACGAAGTTGAGTTTAATTTTTAATCTAAGGCCTATAAAGTCCATTTGTCAAAATGACATGCAGGAGAACATTTTAGTGATTAGGGTGATGTTGACCCTCTACAGGAGCTTTTTCATCTGTGTCCCAGTTACCCCTCAGATTTAGTACGTTGTTCAAACTCAGAGCCACAGCACAAGTTGAGCTACAGGGCCGACAGACTAGACACAGCCAAAAACTTTATATCAAATGTTTATAGCAGTGATGAGTACAAAGTTCTATACATATATAATATGGCACAGCAGGCACAGAAAATAAACAGCCTCAAAATAACATTCTCTCCCACAAGAGAGGTCTTGTTGTTGTTGGATTGGTATTTTGTGTTACTGGCTAATCAAGTTCAAGGAGAATGGCACTTGATCTCACTTTAGCACTGACTCCAGGTACAGATTTTTTTATTTATTGAAAATTCATTTTACAGCTCCGTAGGCCCCCACTCATTCTGGATTACCTCGTGAGCGCCCCCTACACAATCTGGAAGATTTCAATCTCTACGGCTTCATTTAGGCTTCTTGTTCATTGGCTCTGATTCAGCTCTAGAGTTATGATGTTCACGAACGAACCGAATCTTTTGACCGGCTCATTAACATGAACGATGGGAACTGAGTTGTGCACGCTCCCTTCATGTGAGTGCCTCAGTGAAAAACAAAGAAAAAAAAGCGAGTGCATCTGAGTGCAGTGAACAGCAGCCTGAATGAGGGGGAGGACCATCCGTCGTCATTCTGCAAAATGAGCCAAAGAAAAAGGAGCAGCATTTGGATGCACTTTTCGCTTGAGGCAGACAGTAAGGCTCAGTGCAATATTTGCCAGAAGATAATTTCATTTAAGTCTGGCTCCACAAACAATTTGCACAGGCATTTTAAAACTCAACACCCCACTGTTAAAATCTCAGTGAGGAGAGAGCATGACTCTGACGATGAAGTGGAGGGTGCCAGTACTTCTGCCTCCACATCAAAGTAGTTTTACACACATACACACACTTTATACAAAGGGTAAATAGTGATCTCACTGTCAACTCAGAGGGATATGGCAGAATATTTACAATGAATCCATATCAGACTTTAAAATCTTGTCCACACATGTCAAACGAAGCCATAATGAATATTTCAGAATAATTCAAATTCAAATTTTGGTGGGAAATCTGAGTTCAAAATTATTCTGATCCAAATCTCATCCCATCATTCATCCCTGTGATTATTTCCAGGATAAAATGAATTAACCCCAGGCTGGCTTCTTAAAAGAATAAATATAAAAATGAGCCAAATGAGCCAGTCTTCTGAATGGCTCTTTGAAATGAACGGATCCCAAAGATCCGGCTCCCTCCAAAGAGCCATAAATCCCATCTCTATTCAGCTCACCTCATCTCCACCCAGTCTGGGATTAGCCAGGGGTTGAGCAGAGTCAGGCACCGTGATGGTGACAAACAACCCACTTGCTTCAAAACTGCTTTCATGGACTTAAAACCTTAAATAGACATTAATGTCATAATGCATTCAAACTCTCTTCAGAAACCTCGGGCTGGACAGGAGGGACATCATGGAGGTTATGTCCAACTCGATATTCAGTCTATTGGACATGATTTCATTCAAAACACTGATTATTTTAGGAAATTTGATAGATGCATATTTTTTTTAAAACTCAGTTTAAAAGCAAGGTAGGTAAGATTACAGGTTTTTGTTTAATCATATGATAGTTACCTATGATATCATTTTATTGACCACATGAAATTTGACTGAACAAGAGACAAATAAATGTTGTCTTCTAAACTTCCGCATGGATCTACTTAAAAACCCGGAAGTTGTCTGTAGATAGTTGTCCGCTGGCTCCTCCCCCTTGTCCAAATAGGGGGGAAGTCTTTCAAAAACAACATGGCGACTGTGGATGACGTCACAGTGGGTGGATAAAGTCTATGGACCGCGCTGACTGATCGGCTGGAGATGATCAGCGGGGGAGTCATGGAGGACCTGATGCAGCTCTGGCACAGGGCGGAGGTGGACAAGCGGACAGCGGCTCTGCTGGCGGGGGCCGCCTGCGGGGCGGGAGCTGCGGTGCTGATGATCCGGAAAATGATCCGCTTCCGAGAGGCCAAGGATAAGATCCAGAGAGCCAGAGAGCGGAGGACCGAGAGCCTGCAGCGGGCAGAGGAGGCTGTGCTGCGGTTCAAGGAGTCGGTGAGCTGCTGGGGAGAGGAGGGGAGAGGAGGGGAGAGGGTGTCTGATGATAGAAAAGTAAACATCTCACCTATTGATACATTGACAGAATATTGTTGAATCTTGAAATTTGACGGAGTTTTGCTCTTGAGGGAATGTTGTGGTTTTAGACTCTTCTTTATAAGCGGAGAACGACACTTGATAAACACATTTTATACATCTGAGGTTAGATCAATCCTGTGTTAAAGCTCCTCACTGTGTTTGCACAATTCAGAAGTAATATACATCAATATATAATGGACTTAAGTTATGTTGCCATTGATGACAATTATATAGTTATAGTTATTGATATTGTTTTATCCTCCAGCCCTAGTCTCTATTCTGTTTGACATATAAAACTGTTTAGTAAAGACAAAACTAGCAGATCAGTGGATAGTAATCAGTAGGTTGATGCATTTTTCATTTGTCACCAACTTTAAGCCTGAAATGATCAATTATTATCCACACTGCAATGACTGATGATGTGTGTGTCCTCTAGCATCCAACAACCGACTCTGCTCTCATCTTGACGCTGTCCCTCTCTGAGTTGACCAAACAATTGCAGGAAGGCTTGCTGACTCCAGAGGAAGTGTTTTACACTTACATGGAAAAGGTTCAATACCCGACACAACATTCCTACATGTAGCACAGAGAAACACACAGAGCACAGAGATGGTTGGACATTATTCAAAGAGCAAGATAACCTACAATTTGGTCCACCACACAAATTAATTCCTAAAACCAATAAAAGCAGCTCATAGAGATCTCACTAAAACAAATCAAACTAACAAGTCCTTCAGCTTGCTGATAAGCATCATGAAGTAAGATACATGCCAGTCTGTCTAGTTTGTTGAGAACGCTCTTGCAGTCATGAAAAAGCCAAATCTTAAAGGGATAGTTCACCCAAAAATGAAAATTCACTCATTATGTACTCAGCGCTATGCTGATGGGGTGGGTGGGTGAAGTAAGTTCAGAGAACATGTTAGGAGCCCCAGGCATAAACACTCACATACTGATCAAGCTGTTGCACGAGGTGCATGTTCCTGCTCTGCAAGAATAAAAGTTGGTAGTTTCCAAAACTCACTCTGGCATTTGGTGAGAGGATTTCAGGACATTAAAAGTTGACACAAGGTCATGAACACGTTTGTCAAGCTGTTTAATTTGGTTTCAACCTGAAGGCTACAGTAGGTGCTGGAGTCAGTATACATCATAAGGATTTCACATGCACTGAAATCTGAATGATTGTTGACAACACAATTTTGAATAATTTAGGTGTCACACTGATGAATGTTCAATTTAATTATTTATTTGATTATACAAAAACAGGTTGAAACACCATGATTGACAGCTGCCTTGCGATAGGTCGAGCATGTGTACATCCTCTGATCATTGGTGCAGAGACTTTGGCTCCAAATTAGCAAGATGGCTGTGTTTGTATCCAGGGTGTTTTAGCTTAATTTCTAGACTGGGGGGCAGTGGTGGAGCGTCGTCCATCGTCATGTACCAACACATACCTTATTTTTTAGATTTGAATGTTATTACCAGGATAACCTTGAATATACCCATCTACAGTTTACACACCAACTCCTTTAGGTCTGTTGACACCAAGCAAAGTAAACTCATGTAAATATTTTTCCCTTTGTGATTTTTACAGACTCTGGATGTGAACAAAAAGCTCAACTGCTGCACTGGGATTTTGCTGGAAAGTTTCGATCAGCTGAAAACTCTTGACTCCAAGAAGAAGGGTATCTTGTATGGAGTTCCAGTTAGTATCAAAGAAAACTTCGCTTATAAGGTAAGTTGTGATTGTTTATCACAGTTAATCAACAGTTATAAGCTGATAAGTTGATCTGTTGTTATCTAACTGCTCTTTTGGTCTTGTCTTCATTTAACGAACACAAGAATCATGACTGTTCTTGTGGTTTGGTCACTGATCTGGACCAGCCCCTCCAGAAGGACAGTGTGCTTGTGGAAGTTCTGAAGAGACAAGGAGCTATTCCCTTTGTGAAAACCAACCTGCCTCAAGCCCTACTTAAGTAAATCATTCTTCAACCAAGTTGTTAAGTGATAAAGTGGTGACACTGTGTCACACACACAGACACACAAACACACACACAAACACACTTGTGCAGTTGTGTACTATGGGTTTTAGACGACACAGGCTGTGAAACTATATGTTTATCTGTGTTTTATTGCCTCACTTCCAGCTATGACTGTAGTAACCCCATATATGGGCAGACCGTGAACCCTCATAACCTCCAGAAGACCTCTGGAGGTTCGTCCGGTGGGGAGGGGGCTCTCATCGGGGGAGGCGGCTCTGTGCTCGGTTTGGGCAGTGACATTGGGGGCAGCATCCGCATTCCTTCAGCTTTCTGTGGGATCTGTGGCCTCAAGCCGACAGCATGTCGGCTCAGGTGAGTACGTGAGCCAGTTTTATGGAGACTTACTCTGAAGTCATGACACTTTCCAACAGACTTTCCTCTTTATTTGTCATATTTATTGTCAGTTCACAAGGTGTGAGGCCCATTTACAGAGGGCAAAAGTCAGGTAAGAGGAAATACGCTACACATCTTATACAGCTCATGCATACGTTTAAGAGTTAAAGAGTTGCATCATTATTACCTCACAAAACTACTTTTTGACGACTGTTATATTCTTATAAACCTAGTGCTGTCATCTCCTGGACCTATGGCGAGGGATGTAGACAGTCTGGCTCTGTGTATGCAGGCTCTGCTGAGTGACCACATGTTTTCCCTGGATCCTACTGTTCCACCCATACCCTTTAATGTGGAGGTATGTCCAATGAAGTCTAATTATATTTTAATAATATTAATAATGTATCAGGAATCATTAATTTGCCTCAAAGGGATTAGCAATCTGTGGATTACATGTACCCTCGGTCCTTATACCCTTGAATTGGGTAAGAAAAAAGGGAGTTTTAGTGATGCTTCATGGTCTGACATAACCAATGGCCTTGAAAAGGGCCATGCAAATGGACAGAATGCTCCAGAGAGGGTCTGCATAGGTTCTTCTACATTCTACATGTTGATATAGAGGTTTGAAACTTGGTGAGATTTCATGTCACATTTCAGAATTACACGGAATCTGCAACATAAATTGGGACTCCTCTCATACAGTAAAGAAGAGAAACGTCTTGTCAACTGTAACTTATGGTGATGAAATCTCCCTTGAGTGGTTTCCTCCTGTATCTTGCACTAGGGATGTTTTCTCTGGGTGATGTGCTCTGCTGTGATGGTAATGAGCTGTGTTCATCCACCAGTGCAATGGATGTCTTTGTCTGCCATCATGATTTAGAAAAAAAAGGGTTTAACGTGAATTTTCGCAGGCAAAGCTCATTCAAACACACCAATTAAGTCTACAGCTCATTGTCTATACAGTTAAACCATTATGTTTTTACACTTGAATGTTTCACAAAATGAGAATATAATTTTTCCCAGATGTACCAGAGCACCAAACCTCTGAGGATCGGTTACTTTGAAAGCGACGGCTACGCACAGTCGTCTCCAAGCACGGCCCGAGCCATCAGAGAAGTCAAGGCACTGTTAGAGCAAGCTGGCCACACTGTGAGACCAAACCACACCCTGACTCACACTGTTTGGCACATGAAGTCTATGTTTTTAAAGTTCCTGTCCTTTGTGCCTGTAGCTGGTGCCTTACAGTCCTCTGAAGATCAGACACATTGTCAACGAGATAATGGTTAAGGGTGTCCTTGCAGATGGAGCCACCACCATGCTACAAAAACTGTGGGTTGAAATCTCCTTTAAGAACAGTGAAGTCAGTATTACTAAGAGGATTCTTTTGATGCATGTGCACAGCTGCGGTGTTGGGAGAGTCAGTCTAACAAATATCTATTGGACTTTTTTTTGGATTAATAGTTTGAGTCTTCAAATGTGTAAAATCCTTTTCATAAAATCCCAGTACCTCAAGTTGATGTCTTCAGTTTGTTTTGAAAGTGTCAGTTTGTCTCAAAGAACGGAGGCTGAGCAGATTCCTCATACAAGATATTGAAAAAACACTGAAACTGTATTAAACCTCACATAGCTGCTTCATAACTATTATGATAAACACCAGAATAATCTCATTGTCTAGATTGTTGTATCATTTGCCAATTATGTCTTATTGATTCTGTTTTAGGGAGGGAGGCCCTATTGACCCCTGTCTCTCAGCGCAGGTTTTACCCTACAGTTTACCTACATGGCTGAAGAAAACCCTCTCATTCCTCCTAAAGCCTGTGGTTAGTTCAATCAGTCGATTGATCGATGCATGTTTGTGCTGTTCAAAGTGTTTCACAATTGACCGCTTCACCAAAAATGAGATAAACCAAATACAAATGCTGACAATGAAATACCTTGGAATAGCTTTTAGCCAAAATAATAAAAAAGATGCAAGAAATAGAAGAAAAAAGTCAATAAAACGGGGATAAAAACACATTCTAATAAAGTTAAAAGACCACTGAAGAGAAAATTAAAACAAACTGAATTAAATGCCAGATTAAAGAGATGTTTTAAGCTTGTGTTTTGAAGATTTCAACACTGGTCCTCAGGGTGGGTGCTCCAGCAGCTTGGAGCAGAACCATTTAAAGCTACCTCACAAAAGTGTTGTCTTGCACTTTGGAACAGCATCATACCAGACGACCTAAGGAGCTGTACTGGTTCATACACAGTGTGATGACAACAACTAAAAGAATCTTAAAATCAATATGGAAACTGACAGGCAGCCAATTCTGGATCAACTGTAGTTGATGTATGATATCATTTGGTTGACCAGATATTAAGACAGTAGTCAATCCTGCTCGACATAAAAACACCCATCAGTTTTTTAGATCCAAGGGATTTTAATTTTGGCTATGAGTACAATTTCTGTAATGTCCTGGCTGAGTTGTAAAAAGTTTTCCAGACATGGATTTTTCTAAAATCAATGTGAATATAAGTGTCATTAGTTTTGAAAATGTGATTTTTGACTGTTGTTGTTGTTGTTGTTGTTGTTGACCATTGTTGCATATCATATTTTGTAGGCTCCCCGTGCTTCCGCCATCCTCAGTGGTATCTGTGGAGTCAGGTGAAAGAGTTGCATATACATTTTGTGCTTGAGGGTTTGCTGTGTAATAGCGTACTGACTCTTTCTCTCTGTCTTGTTTCCAGTTCTGTTCCAGAGCTATGGAAGCAGCACGCTGCTGTCGAGGTACTGTTAGTCCTCAGTCATTTATTATTCTATGTTCTAAATGCATACAAGGGGAAATTTAATTCTCACCTGTTTTCCTTAGGACTACATTTATGAAACAATAGAAGATTGGAGAAGATGCAACATAGATGTGCTGCTGTGCCCTATGTTTGGACCTGCCTACAACTTCCTATACTGCGGCAAACTTACCAGTACGGTAGACTTAACTGAAGTCAAATATCTGCATGAATAGAGTGGTGTCAGAGACTCTGTCTTTGCTGATCATTTCTATAAATCAGGGATAGCTATACAATACAAGGAACACATTATTTGAATGGTTTCGTTGGTTTTGGTAATACTGTAATAATAATTTTCCATCAAAATTAACATGACACCATCAAAACGATTCAAAGAGGCTGCCTGTCTTCCTTTGAGTTTGCTCCTGGGAAAACAGATACAATAACAATCCTCGGAGAGCTCATAGCGTACTTTGCAGAGCATTTCTGTGTACATAGTCTAAGTAACTGATAAGATGTAAACAAAAATGTTTTACAAAGTTCCCTTATTAGACTCAGGCAAAATAAACATCACCTGCAAACATCACCTCCCTATTAAGAATATAAATTGTCTGGATCAACAGCCAAGATCCTGCATTATGTCTTGAGAAATTCCATAACAGCATAAAAATCACCTTATTCACAAGCTTCATACAGAACAGTGATAATAATATTGTTGTTACACTGGATCACAGTGACTTACTTATTTCTATTGTCTTTTCTTTAAAGCTATGCTCACGAACACGATGCTTTACAATCTCCTCACCTTTCCGGCCGGTGTAGTTCCCGTTACTACGGTGACTGCAGAAGATGAGGAGGAACTCAAGTACTATAAGGGCGTTTATCAGGACCACTGGGACAGGCTTTTCAAAGAGGTAAGAAACACCTGCCAGAGTGAGGTGATGTCCAAATGATCTAATACAGAGGTCCTATTCTGTTAAGACTCAGATTATATTATTAAAAGTTTATTCACTGAAATTAAACAATGCCAAAGATACACCTAACTATTCTCATAAGTATTATACTGTGAAAATACACCAATAAATAACGACTGACCCTGGATACAGACGTGCTGTCCAGCAAGGTAGCCATGACAGACGAGAGCCAACAGCTGTCTTTAAATTACTGACGAGGCACAAAAAGACAAGATTGTCTTATTTTACGAACTGTGCTTCTGTTTTCTTTCTAGCCACTTTGCACTTTGCGTCTCAGTGTTTTGCTTTGCTGTTATTTTTTTATCATAATGTGGTGATCTTGCGTCTCTTTGTGGTTGGTGTCATATGAAGCCACTTTGCACTTCTGCTTTTGTTTGACAGTTTTTGTCGTTGCTTTTCATCACTGTCACGTGGATTTGTTCCTTTTTGTACTTGAATAACTTTCCAACAACAAATATTGACAGTCACCTCAGAGACTCTTTGCAGTGGCACACCTTTGTATAGTTTGTGTTTCTGTGCATCTTCCAAATTGAAAGTTAAAACTGTACTTCCACACTTGGTCAGCAGGTGGAGGCAGCAGACTGTGGTGGTTACTGACTGTTGACTGGCTGTTGATGTTTGTTTTCAGGCTGTGTCTGGGGGCGAGGGTCTGCCTGTGGCGGTGCAGTGCGTGGCTATGCCGTGGCAGGACGAGCTCTGCCTGCGTCTCATGAGGGAGGTGGAACATCTGGTCAAACAGAGCAGGAAGTAGAGCCTGGAGGCTACAGATGGATGAAGATGATGTTTGATAATAGCATTGGAACATTATGATGTGGGATGTGAACGTGAAGTTGATGCATTTAACAATAATTCTAGAGAGATAATTCTTAAGTTAGGGGTTTAGGGTTTGGGCTAACCCTAGATTTTTTGTGTTTAACTCATTACTTGACAAATCTTTAATGTTTAAATTTAATTGTATTTTGCATTTATGTGTCTTTATTGGAATAATCTTACTGAAATGGGGATTCTTAATATAATAATTATAATAAATAAATACATTTCTTTTTATTGTTGATCATGTCTGAACTTAAAACCTACCGTGATCTGATGTCTGAGAATAAAACAACTGATTTCTCACAGGTCGCACCACTGAAATGTTGAAATCCTTTATTTCTTTTTTTTTCTTGATTTTTATATAGTTTTCAACAACAATACAGTTCAGTTCAATTCAATTGTATTCGTATAGCGCCAAATCATAATATACATTATCTCAAGGCACTTTACATAGAAGGTCAAGACCTTAAAATGGTATTAATATAGAGAAACCCAACTGTTCCCACAATGAACAAGCAAGTTGGCGACTGTGGAGAGCAAAAAGTCCCTCAATGCATACAAAATGTGCATTTTTATACAACTTTCTTTTTCATTTCTCAATAGTATAAAACATTGTTTATCTATTAATGCCCACTCCAAAATATAAACAGACTTAAAAAAGCCAAACAAAACTTACACAAATGATTAAAAAACAATTATCGTCCACTCCATGTATGATACGAGGTGAAAACACAGAATTTGTTTTCTTAAAGCCAGGGTCAAGCTGCTGATATGATCCACTGTTCCTTCCACTGTTCATTTGTTCGAGTTGATATTTGCAGCTTTTTAAAAAGCTGTACTTCAAATCCCAGTTGAAGTTGTTTAATCTGAAATGAACTAAGATCCTGATGCACCTTCCCCATCATTCACTCAGCAGCTGTCAGGCCTCACACCCTCTTCTTTCACCTTCTGTTCCCGTCCACCTCTGCCTCTTCATCACTGTGCCACAGATGAGTGCAGATCATGTTCATCCCTATTGTGAGCGATTGTTGCACTGATGCCATCACTGGAAACAGAAAAGAGATAAAGAAGACTAATGACACATGGCGCCTCCATCCACGAGGCCAGCGCACCATGTCTTCGTATTGTGATTACTCCCGTGCTATTGTAAATATGTGTTTCTGTTGGGTTTACATAAATTTACATATGTTTTAAAAACTCTCCTGGGATGGGAAACCATTAGGGACGACGTTAGCGTTTTCCATTACAGTCGCCTGTGTTAGCACTCGTGTCGTGATTGAATGGAAATGGCCGCGTGTGCATGTGGCAGAGGAAGGAGGGCACATTAGGCGAGGAGAGGAGAGCTGGAATTGAGAGGTTGTTCTTAGCATTATCTGTGGCACATAGAGAGAGAGAGAGTGTGGCTCTCACTGTGCCACTCAGTCAGGGAGCATTAAGCTTTAAGAGGCAGTGAAGAGACTCAGGTCTTCAGAGGGAACTGACATTGTTCATAAATCCCTCAGGATCTGAGACAGAGGCAGCGACACACACACACACACACACACACACACACACACACACACACACACACACACACAAATCCATCCTTCAAATTGGCCCATTAAATACATTCACCATTTACAGGTTGGCAGGTGTGTGCATAATACTCTATTATACATAATTAAAATCTATTTGAATATTATATATAAACTGTAGCTATTTAAAACTTCAAAGATCATCAGCACAAGTGGTATGGTGCAACATATCATTTTACCCAGTAAGGCATATCAAACTAAATATTTAAAAGAAAAGGGGGAAAATATTAAACTCATTTCCATTGATTTTTCCATGCAATCCTAAAATCCATTCATTTAAACATCACTTGCATAAAACACATGCATATATGTCATATTTGTAAATTGTAAAAAAATAAATAAAAACCCTTTGATAAATTGGAGAAAAATAAACTATTATTCTTGTACTAAGTCAAATCCAATTTAACATGACCACTCTCCTCACAACTATTCAGTTTCTGGGTTTAAACATAATGAACAAATCTTGTTTAATGAACTCTTACAGTTTATTTTTATGGGCCCTTTTCAGAAAAGATATTTTGAGATGTCACATGAAATCATTGGTTGCTGAAATTCCTTTTAGCTGCTTCACTTCCATGGTTCTGGTGTTGTGAGCTGCTTCACTTATGCTGCTTCACTTGTGTGAGTGCATGACAGGAAGTGCTTGTGTGCATATATTGTGCACCTGTAATGGATCGTGAGGAAAATGTATATTTGATATTTTCTCAAAACTAAGCATGATGTGTTAACAATTGAAACCCAACAAATCATCTCTCTGTGCAGCTGTCGTGACACAAGTTGCCACATTTAAACCACAGCGAAACAGAACTAGTTTCAAGCCAACATTTCAATATCAACTCATCTGGAATGAAAATGTCTCTAGTACTGATGACTAATATATAGTTGTGCAGCTTTTAGCCATTTTCATCTTTGACCTACAGTTTGACTCTAGTGGCTCTCATCGAGCCCCTGTAACTTTGCAGCTGACAAATATAAATACGCCTTTTTTCACCATTGCACACATTTATGATAAAGACCTCAGTCAGTGTAAGAATGTCCTCATGTATTCAACATCAGAACTTGTAAAACAAAGTGAGAAGAGTTGAAATAGTTTGAGTCAGATGTAGAAGGCATCTGGCCAAAAGCTCAGTCTGTTGTAATCATACAGCAGAACGGTTAAACAGCCCCGGCAGGCCGAGGTGCTCTTCTCATGTAACGTCTCATTGATAAGAGCAGCAAACACCTCATTTACAGGAACCTTAGGCTGTAAGATCAGGTACTTTAAAAGCTATCCAAACACATTCAGACCCTGCCTGCGTGCCAGCAAATAAAACACCTTGATATCGCCACAACTAACCTAGGATGATTCTGTCTTAATGTCCCATTTCAGGGACCAAGGAGCCCATAGTCTTTATGGCTCCACAGAATTGCAGAAAGTAATGTCTGACGCAGCGGGGCTCCATCCTTTCAGATGATCAAAGTGACAAGTTCAACCTGCAAACCAGAGCCACTTACAGGAAACATCAAGAAGCCGCAAGATTGGCAGCTTTTAGGTCTTTGGTGCATTTCATCAGCCATTTCCCCAGCATAGGCGACATGCTGCGGAGGACGAGTGGGAGGAGGGGAAGGCAGATTAACAGACAGCTGATACAGGTGTACAGGCGGTATCAAACAGCAGCTCTGTCAATACAGCAGCCTCCAAATTTCTTCAGAAGGGGCTGGGATCCCCGAAGTATGCCCACCGATCTCACTATGACCGGATTAACTGGGAGCTCCATATGATTTTCTCAGATTCTGTGACTCAACAATTCAGTGATCCACGTTCTATCGGCTTTAAAGGCCCCTATCCCAAGTTTGAAAAGCTTACCCCTCGGACAAGGGACACTCTTTTTCTCCCATCCAGTTCCGCTTTCGCCTTTTTCGCTGCATGCAGTTATTCATCAACCACACCGTCTTCGCCAGCTCTCCCATCCTCCCTTCTCTCCACATCTGCTAGGTCTGAGTTTTCCTTTCTTTCCCCCGGTGCCTTGCTTGGCCCAAGGCCCTTATAGCCAAATTGGTTTACATTGGAGAGATAAATGCTCTGCAAATGCGCTTAAACACGTACAGTAAAAAATGCAGACAGTGCGTGTCAGGATTATCACCCAAGTCAGGGGGAGAAAGGAGAGCGTCTCTGTAGCACAAAGCTGGGGAGCCAGAGTGAAGCCTGCAGATATAGTCCGTCTCATCCACTTCTCAGGAGAAAGAGAGGATTTAGCATTTGCATGCTAGTCTGTAATTCCTGGCATTATATAACTTGTCGCCAACAATCAAACTCCTGTGGTATTGTGAAAGTATTGTTTCACATGGGTGAGCAAAGTGTGGAGTTACACTCCTGGGGAAGGGGTTTTCAGTGGCAGCACTGAAACAGCTGGTCCAAGATGCATGACAGAGACCACCCTATCAGCCCAGTCAAGAAAAACCTATTTAGCAAAACAACATCAGGCCCAACTGGAGAAGGTGCATTTCAAATTCCCCTCAAAATAAATGGTGTTTCTTAGAAAGAGGCTGATCCAAACTGTTTAATCTGTGGGAAGAAAGTGATGGCAATGCTAATTGTTGGTATTACTTGTATGAAGAAAACATATTTAAAATTTATATTTTAACATTTGATATGTCTGTAAACCACATGTGATCCTTTGTGAATACATGTTTCAATTTGTTATGTTTTACACTTAATGTAAAAATCCCATGTTGATCCATAATGTGAATTTAATCACATAGAAAAATGTCCCAAAGACCACCTGTTCACATTTGATGCAATTCAACATTTTGGATTTTCCATATTTTTGTTACTGTCAATAAATCCCACGAGAGACCAAAACTGACTACTCAGTGGGACTAAGCCACAAATCCACATGTTTCAAAGGATGCATTTCTTTTCAAATGAGTAAAATGGTCTCTATTTTTCTAGTGCTATAAAACAGCTGGGCACTGTAGTTTTTACTAAATGTAACTCTAACAGGAGAAAAAGGTTTTATTTAGAGAGGACTATTTTCAAATGCGGATTAATACACAATTGGTGGATGGTGCATGTGTCAGCTTGAAATAAACTTTAATTCCCCTGCTTATCATAATTAAGGAACAAGTTAGCCAGTTCATTGTTGTGTCACACTGATGGGCTGTATTTTTATACCGAGGAATAAGCTATGTCAGATTTTGATGAGGGGCTATACTTAAACATACTCAATCTGTTCATTGTTTTTTTATTGAAATATCACTGTTATCAATTAAAATTCCCAAATATCACAAGAAATGTTCTTTAAGAAACAAAACAATAACACAACAGACACACTTTTATTAGTCTGAGTCTTTGTCCCATCTCCAGGTGAAAGAGGTCTCACTTGGTGAAAACAGGCAGGTTTTTCTTGTATCTTGAAGATACAGGAAATGTTCCTCTCTCTTCCCACCTGCTGCTGTGGTCCCCTGGGGGACACCCTGCACGCTGCTGTCCCTGTCTACCAGCATCAGTGTAAAAACCCCTCCACATGCTCTGCCATGGGGATTTGGGTGTAAAACTTCCACAGTTCCTCCCCCCTCTCTCCAAAAGCCCCCCCCTTCTCATCCCCATGACCTACCCCTCCCTCCAAATCAACACCGTCCCCCTTAGACCTCCCAACACAAAGCCCTCAGAGCAGGCCCGGCACAGAAATCATAGCACACCATTCAATCATTGTTTTTTCCCCTCTCTCACCCCTTTTATGGTCCCACTAAAGGTTTTAGCCGGGCAGAGAAGGAGGGCTGTCACTGAGGAAACCTTAGCCCATTGATGAAGTGACAGGAGCTGCCAGAATATGATCCTAATCCTGTTTCCAGCATTCTTTTAGCCCGCTGGCATCGCAATTCCTCCACACATTCTCTGAGCTGTCAACTAGGAAAATCCCTCTAATAGCGCATTGCCCAGATACACATCAAAGAGCTCCTGGAAACCTTCAGCGGCTTAGCTGCCATAGACACACTCACACACACTCATTCACGCACACACACAAACACACCGTTCCCAGTGATTTACACCCTTTCCCAACAAAAACACTGAGGTTCATGACAAATTGACCACATATTTAAAGAGTGTCTGAAAATAACCTGAGGGACTTTGTACAAAAATTGACTTTTCAGCCCCAAAATTATTTTTACTCACTGTAACAGGCCCCGTCCTAATTCCCTCGCGCTTCTCGCCTCCTCCTCTGCAGTTAGAAAGTGATATAATCTTTACGGTCATGGAGCGAGGAGCCGCAGAGGAGCAGGAAAAGAACAGGTGTCTGAACTTTGCTGACTCCGGGATCTCTTTCAGCCCCATTTTATCTCATTCTATTCTTACTTAATCCATCGATATCCCGACCGAAGGTAATCTTCTTATGGCAAAGCATTCTGTTTCGGTGCAGCCAAACCTCGATTGACAGGGTGGGGGAAGAGAGAGAGTGTGAGGGGAGGGTGGTGGGTGGGTTTGCTGGATTGGAGACTCTTTAGAGCCTGACACTGTGCTTCAGTCATTTCATTTAGGATTAGTTATTCTACACCCGGTGAACAAGTGGCAGGCTCTCCCCCATGTGGCATGTAAACCTCACCATTGATGGTGGTGGACCTCCTGTGTCTAAATAATTTACGGTTAATCGAGGTGTCTTCAGCGGAACAGTTTAACTTACATTTCACTGTAGAAGTTGGAGTTGGACGTTGGACGTGATGTGTGTGGATATCAAAACTAATTTCTTTTAAGGTTCAGTTTTCTGTCAGTCCCACTCTGATCTGTCAGAGGAGCTGGATTCGGCACACCCTCGACTAATCCTTCTCCTGTTGCAGACTAACTCTCACATGAGAAACTTCGACAGAAGTGTTTTAGAAGACGATAATGTGTGAGTGCATGTTTTAATGGATGCTGTTCTTGTCCAGGCTCCTCCTGACTCACCTTTTCGCTGACTTGGGTTCAAAGGAAAATAGAAAACTGCCACTGGGGAAATTCGATTTTTGTATGAGGTCCATAAAGTATTTCGATTTCCTTAATCCATGAAGGAATATTGTGGTTTGTGTCTGCTGTTTTTTTGCATTCCAAGTAACCAGTGTTTTTTTAGGTTTAAGTTCCCTGTTTGCTTTGGAAAATTGCTAAATGAAGCTTTGTGAACAAATGCAAGGACACTTCTCCATGCTCTATTCCAACCAACGACACTGACAACAGGAGTCATTCTTATTTGTGATTTATTCCCTTGAATTAAACAGATAAATTACTCACATTTAAAACAATTGAGAAATACATGTCTTGAATCTACAGTGCTATAATACATAGAGATCTGGCTCGTGCGTCTCTCTGGTGACCTCGATCTGGCACCCGAGTTAGCAAAAATATACGTTGGCTGGGTTCATATTTATTTGTGACTGTGCCTCCTCCTTCACTGTAGGTCCTTTGCTTAAGAGACACAATTGCTTCACACAAAAAGGAGACATGAAGTTACACTGAGGGATATTTACAACGCTCAATGGATTCTTGCAGGCAGAGCTGTGACTTTAAACTTTCATCTACAAAGAAACACATTTGGCTCAAGGATTATAACCAATGATCGGAGGTTTATTTGCGATATTCGATCTGATGTGACTTCATTCTGTGTTGTGCGGCTGTAAGCCATGCTTCACAGGGTGCACACATGCATAGTTCACGTTCATGGTGTTGGATTATGGCATATTTTAATATCGTTGTCGGTCCTGGAAAGAGAACGTCAGCTCTGTGGTTGAAGACTTTCTGCCCCGTGTGCACAAAGGAGACTCAGTTCATAGCGAACAGCTGGCATTAGGCTTGAGCTGTGGACCAGGAGGAGTCAAATACAAGCAAGATCCACACGGGCAGGAGGAAGTGTTCAGTCGTAACTCCAGTCCGGGGGGATTATTCTTTCTCTTTTTTTTATCTATTCATTCAAGTCCATCGAGTTCTCCTTATAATCTTGTTTTTTGTTCGGTCTGTCCAGCAGAGACGTTCTTCATGTTTCTCATGAGCAACAGCAGTGAGCTTCATGCCCATTTGAAGAGGGCCCCTTCGATGTCTGCTCTGAAACACACTTGTGGTTTTCATGTTGGCCCTAAAAATAAGTTGCTCTACTCTTAGTTGCTCTGCTTTTGAAATTGAATTTAGTTGGGAGAAAAACTGCAAAATATCCTCAGCAGTTGTTAAAGTAGGAAACAGATTTGGAACTGAGGAATTTTAGAATGATCAGCCAATTGGGTAGCAGACAAAAAAAACTGATTTATTTCTCAGTGTGTTTTTGGATGCTGACAGTGATGAGAGGCCAAGAGGAAAATGTCGGGGAGCCAGAGTGACTTCCTGTTGACAGGGCCCATAATTCATAGCTAGACACAGATCAAAAACCGAACATAGAATCTGAGCAGCCTGCAGGAGCTTCAGTTGGGGAGCGTGTCCAATCCCAGTGAGGCTGCATGCTGCTTAGCCCTCATGCGGAGGTTCTCAATGCTTGTCGTCTTGCTGTTGAGGCTTCCAGGGAGGCTGCCTGGCGCCGCCTGCAGCAGCGGGCTGTTCCACACCTGCTGGGCCTGTGACAGCGTCTGGTAATAGGACTGGCAGGGCAGTGAGCCCAGTGGGGACGGCATGTTGACGTTCATGCCCAGGTAGGGCAGAGAGGACGGCGTGCTCATGTCAAAGGACGGGTAGTGCACCAGGTTGTTGGTGGCGGCCATGTGCTGCCGAAACTGCTCCTGCAGCCGAAAGAGGCTGAGGGGGGATGAGGCGTAGGAGTTGCTCTGAGCCAAACTGCCGCTCGCACTGCTGGAGGACGGCAAGGCAGGGGAGCTCAGGGGAGAGTCTGAAGGAAAGAAAGTGAGGAGGAGGATGTTAGAATATTTTCACATGGACGTCTACTGTAGATATCTTTTTCATGTTAATCCTGTTTTTAAAGTAATTGTGTGCTTTTGCTTATCATTTAGAAGCTATCCAAAGTCTTACCTGGTGCAGGACTGAGTCGTTTGCAGGATGGGGAGCTGCCACCTGGCTGCACCCCCCCCTCCCCCTGCGTCTCCTCCCTGATCTTCACCCTGGTCCCCGCCCTCATTTCGTCCTCTTCTCTGTCAGCATTTTCTTCCGCTGCTGACTCGCTGTCCGATGGCTCAGGGGAGGTGACATTGACTTCCACGCTCATCTCGTCAGGCTGGGGCCCTGCCGCCTCCAGCCTCTCCTCTGAGTGACAGGACGATAGGGAGGAGGGGAGGGGTGGGGTGCGGGCCTCAGGAACCAGGGTGGTGGTGGTGGTGGTGGTAGTGGTGTTGGCAGTAGTGAGGTCAGTCTTGGAGTCCTCTGGAGAGCCTTCAGCTGCTCCTGACGCCTCCTTCTGTTTCTGGAGCTGCTCCTTCTGCAGGCTGCGCTGCTTCTTGCGAAACTTGGCCCGACGGTTCTTGAACCAGACCTGGATCACAGATGAACACATCAGAGCTTGGGTTAAATACCTCTCCAGTGGTCCTGGCCTATTCATTTTCACCTTTAATGATACAAGATTGCCTTTGGCTTTTTACCTGCACTCGTGCCTCGGGCAGGTTGGTGCACATTGCCAGGCGTTCACGCATCACCACATCAGGATAGTGGGTCTTCTGGAAGGTTTTCTCCAGGGCCTCCAGCTGCTGGGCGGTGAAGGCCGTGCGACTCCGCCGCTGCTTTCGGTGCTGGGAGCCATATCGGGCCTCAAGGATAATGTCTTGAAATGTGCAACCGTTGAGAAACAAGAAACACGACCAGTTTAATTAAAGGGACAGGTCAAAGGGCAGGAGATGATATCTACATATTGAAATGTGCAGCTGACACCAGCAGCTGCTTGTGGAGGATGCAGATGTGAAATGACAGCTTGAGGAGCTGAAAAGCAAAATGAGCAACTGCTTCTTACCAGCCAGTCTCTCTGCAAGAGTAAGTGCATGCACTGAAGGCCTGTAGTCAGGGGCGTGCTGGGCCTGTTGCGCCGCCTGCTGGTGGAGGTTGTACATGGCGCTCAGTGAGTTCATGGCGTGGAGAGAGTAGCCGTTCACCCCGTAGTGCTGCATGACCGACGTGTTTTCTGCGGAGGAAAGAAACAAACTGTTGTGAGGGTCAGGCCTCAAAACACAGTGCTGTTCTCTGAAGTATGGTTAGTTTGAAAATGAGGAAAGCTGTAAAATATGGTTTTAAAATGTCAAATAGTAGCAGGTGAAGTGGCCTTTAAACGCTGCGCTTCTGTGGAATAGTTTCTTTCATTTATCAGAGCAGAGAATTGAAAGATTCCAACAAAAGTTTGTTGAAAGAAACCATCCAGAAAGTTTATGGAAATTCTGGGTTTCACATCTAAACAGTCAGAAAAGAACTTCTTTCAAATTGTAACTTGTAATCGTTAATCTTCATTTTCAACTATGATTAATTAAAAAAATATATTTTGTAGTTTATGAATCTACTGCGGCAACAGAACTATTTTGCACAGGCTTTTTAACATGAGATTTTATAGCGAGCAGAAAAATGATCAGATAAGTGCAATTTTCCAGCTCCAGAAAAATACAGCGTCATATTTAGCAATTCACTAACTCAAATAAATGTTGCAGAGGTCTCAAGTTTA